CGGCCGCGATTAATTCATGCGTGTTTGTTTTTCTCGTGTCTCTCCACCAAAAAGACTGGACGACAAGAGCGTTCACTGCCGTGCATTGTCTGACAGCCAGGTGAGTTGTCATTAGCGTAATGAATGGAGGGAAAGCTCTTGTCATCGAGTGTCTTTGTCTCTGTGGGGGAGGCGGGGCTATGGGCTACACACAGTGCGATCTTCGTGAGGGGGAGATGAGGCGGCGGAGAGAAAAAAACAGTTGAGTGTAAGAGAAAGACAGGGAACTTGTTCCTAAACCAAATGCCACGGCCCCTGTGTGGTAGTGTTTTGGATTTAAACCAAATGACAGAGGGAAGCCCAGTAATTTGAACGAACCGGTGTGCCAGGTTTGTTCTAAAACCATCTCAACAAAAAGAGCGAATACGACCAACTTCACTGCACACCTGAGAGTGAGAGACTGACAGTCTGTTTTTTTTGTATTTGTTGTTATTGTTATTNGCTCTGACCCTGATGGCAACGAGTACTAGCCAATCAGAGGCAGAGCAGGGTAATGTGTTTTTTTTCTGGTTAGGAAAACGTCAGTCCTGTAACTAAAAGAAAAAGTTAGATGAGTGCATAAAAAGCGATAATAAATAAAGAATTTGTGAATTCAGGATGATATTTATTTGTGTGTGCAAATTTTAATTATCAGAGGTTTACTGTGTATATAATGTACTTGGTACATCAGTCTATATTTGATATCCCATCTGTTTTCTAATGTTAAATAATGTTAAAAGGTGGTTTAACTCCCTCTTGTGGTCATTGTCCTGAAGCTCAGGGGGGAGAAAAATAAATAAACTGTGTACCGTGGGTACAGTTTTGCAAAACTGCGCACAGTTTACTAATCTGTCCACATGGTTGTAAATTGGCAATCTGTACCATAGACTGTATAAAATAAGATCTGTACCCACAGTTTAAAATCCGTCCCCACAGACTGTAAAACCGTGCACATAGTTTATTTAATTTTCTCTCACTGGAACCTAGGGGGGGCTCCGTAGAAAAAGTCGTTTGTTTTGGGCTTGTTTTCACAGGCCTGGTTACTTATTTGTCTCGCGAGATCTGGCAACACTGGGAACTTGTTCCTAAACCAAATGCAACGGCCAATGTGTGGGAGTGTTTTGGATTTAAACCAAATGACAGAGGGGAGCCCAGTAATTTGACGAGCCGGTGTGTGGGGTTTGTTCTAAAACCATCTCAACAAAAAGAGCGAATATGACCAACTTAACTGCACACCTGAGAGTGAGAGACTGACAGTCTTTTTTTTGTATTTATAAGGTCTTTATTTAGCCTATTTATTTCGATATTTTTACATGTTATTTCGGGTATTTAAATTTTATTTTTTGCATTCCTCAATATTCTTGTTAAATAAATGTTTATTTCTCTTTAAAAGGGTGTACTTGCATCAATATGTCTTTATTATCATTATATAAGTTTAAAAAATGGTCTAAAAACAGCAAAATTACAACAATAATAAAAATGGTATTAAAAGCACAATATTACGCAATATTATTGCTTATCGCGATAATTTTTGACACAATTAATTGCCCAGCAAAATTTGTTATCGTGACAGGCCTAATCATAATAACAATAGTCAAGTCTTTATAAAGTAGTTGAAACTAGCTCCACCTCCAGCAGCTACAACAGTAACATGCTGCTCTAACACTGATGCTTCAGTATTAATAATCTAATGATGTCATATAATATCAGTCAGAGGAACCAAACACTACTTTTACTGCAATACTTTGCCATTTTTATAGCCTGAGTGTCAGACTGAAGCTCCCAGAACCTTCAGTCTGACATGGCTTCCATTGAAGGCGATTTACAAGGGGGAGGGAATTTGATTTTTTTCCCTAACCAATCAGTAGAGATCAACGACTCACCCAGAATCTGACGTCATTAGTATCCATGCCTCGGGGGTGCCGAAAACAAGCGAGCATTGCCCGTTTAAAATGTCTCCATCGTCGTGCACGCCCAGCTGCATCGCCGTTAAATCCAGTTTAGCAGCTTCCTTAACTTGGTCCTCCATTAACATGAATAGTGGCGAAATACCTCAATAGCATCGTTAATGTGGTCTGTAGGATCTGTAGCGGTCGCCATTGTTGCTATCCTCACCAGTTACCCACCGGCGTACAGCTTGACATCAGCGTGACGCTGATTGGCTAATCGCTAGACCCCCTGCGTTCATTGGTCCGTCCATCTTTTGGACTAGATAAATCTCAAATTCATTTTAGTATGCCAGACCAGAGATGCAAGCCTACTCAGTTGAGTGGGCGGGGTCTATGGTCTGGAACCAGGCTACCATTTTTATCTCTCAGAACTGGTTCTTATGACGTGTTTTTCATTCTGAACAGCTTCAAGGTGGAGTGAATGTAAAAATAATTAGGCAATAAACATCAAAACACAACATTAGATGTCATATTTGGGTTTATATTCAACTAAGGTAAGCATTGTGTGTTCCATGTACTGTATTTTTTAAATTTTTTTTCACTGTAACTGAAACACAACACGGGAGCGGGATGGGACAGGAGTCATTCTTGTGGGATTGGGACGGGATGGGATTATTTTTGTGGGAGTGTCCCTTTAGACCTAATGACATCTTAATGAATCGCCTTGAAAAGGTGGTTGGTCTTTCTGATTGTGTGTTAAACTGGTTCAAAACATTCATTTAGGAGAGGAAGGTTTATGCCAGTCTTGAAGATCGTGTGTCTGAGAAACATGACCTCTGTTTTGGGGTTGCACAAGGGGTCCATTTTTATTCTCATTGTACATGCTGCCACTTGGTGACATCATTAGACAACACAATGTGTGTTTCCATAGTTAGACACGCAAGACACGCAACTGTACATCTCTGATGAACCAAACAATACCGAAGCCATAAACTCCTTTACTACCTGTCTTTTGGCAATAAATAAATGGATGAGCAGTCTTCTTATTTTACTATATCTGTGTGTGTCTGTGTGTCTGTTCCACGTTTTTCTCCTCACTGACTTGGTCAATCCATGTGAAATTTGGCACAGTGGTAGAGGGTCATGGGAGGATGCGAATGAAGCAATATTACATCAATTGGCCAAAGGGGGGCGCTATAGCAACCCATTGAAATTGCAAACTTTGAATGGGCATATCTCATGCCCCGTATGTCGTACAGACATGAAACTTTGCACAGAGATGCTTCTCCTCATGAGGGACAAATTTGCCTCAAGAACCCATAACTTCCGGTTATATAGATTTTCCGCCATTTTGAATTTTTTGAAAAACACTTAAAATCGATCTCTTCCTAGGAAGTTTTACCGATCTGCATGAAACTCTGTGAACACAATCTAGGGACCAATATCTAAAGTTCCCTCTCGGCAAAAGTTGGAAAACTCACTAAAACTGAGCTTCTATAAGGCAATGAATATTGCAGAGGGCGTGGCTCATCACATAAAAGTGTATAACATCTCAAGGATTTCACCGATCACCACACAACTTTGTAGGCATATGACCACACATACTCTGAGGGGACCCCTCCATTATTGACCCGATCAAACAAAATGGGGGCGCTAGAGAGCTAATTTCTTATCTAGGCCTAACCACCATATCAATTTTTACTAAACTTGGTAGATATGTAACACAGGACACCTCAAGGTGACTGGAGAAAATTAACTCTAATTGGCAACTGGGTGGCGCTATGACAACAGAAAAATGCTTAAAAATGGCTAAAATGCGACCGATCGCTGTGGCTCCCCCTGTGGCCGAATGTTGTAGTTTTTTTCTAATTTTTGGTATGAAAAAATAAAGTGATAGCATGGTATGGTCATGGTATGGTATGCTGTACATAATCATGGAAACTGTCAGTGTGTCATTTTGTCAGTCAGTCATTCTGTCTGTCCCACATTTTTATACTCACTGACGTGGTCAGTCTATGTGAAACTGCACATAGGCATTGGGGATTGGCATAGGTAGAAAGTGACAAAGCTACCAGTGGGTATGGACTAGTAATTTCTTAAAGTCAAATAAAGACAAAACTGAAATCCTGCTTGTCAGCCCTAAAACAAAAAGAAAAATGCTACTTAATAATCTGGGAAATTTAACTCCCTGGATAGATTCCGAGGTTACAAGCCTTGGTATGATCCTTGATTCAGATCTCATTAAAGGGCCAGTGTGTAAAATGGGTTGAAAACAGTGACATCAGTGGTCAAAATCTAGATTGCAGGGCTCACTCGCTCACCCCTCCCGTCGGGTAAATGACAGCCACAGCGCCGCGCCGGCAGCGGTGTGTGTTGCACTAGAGACTTCAGCTCATTCAAAACTCTGCAGCTCACCTATTAACTTGAACCAAGAGGAGAGAGCACATCAGGCTAGTCTTAGCTGCCCTGCACTGGCTTCCTGTTACATTTAGAATTGATTTTAAGGTCCTCCTCCTTGTATACAAAGCCCTACATGGGCCGGGACTAAGCTACATTGCTAACTCCCTTGTTAACTAATTGTCTCTGTGATCACAGAACACTGTGATCATCTGCGCCCCATTACACCCCAAATTTTTGGAACGAATGACTATAGATATTTGGGACGCTAGCTTGCGAAATATTTTTAAAAGAAAGCTAAAAACAATCTGTTCTCTTTAGTTTTTAACTAGCTTTGACTTTCCTGATACAGGTCTGAAACTCTTTATGCTTTTACTTTCTATTTACACTTCATGCTGCTGCAAGTCTTTTAAACTCTTACTTGATTTTATGATTCATAGTTTTACAACTCTATGATTTTATGAATCAGTTAATCCATGTTTTAAACTGTTTTAAATTAATAAACATTGTTGAGCGTTACACTCTGAGTAACGTTGCTTGTTAGCAAGCAAAAAGAAGCAGCTTGTGACTGTGTGTGTTAGGGAGAGCATGACTGTTTGCTACCTCCCAAGGACAGGAATGACAGATAGCAACAGTGAGGACTGCAGTGTAAACAGAACTGACATGAAAATGCAAAGAATAAAAAAGAACACAGTATAAGTAAAAAGTTTTTTAGAGGGACCTGAGATAACGGAAACTGCAGCTTTAACAATGGGATTATATCATTGAGCAGAGTCAGAGAATAAAATGCTTGTTTGAAAGGCTTAACTCATGATCCAAATGTAAACCACCCATTAACCAAGTCAAAACACCATTACAGCCTGCTATCACTTTCAAACTGACTGACAAATCCTTCATAAAAGTATCTATACATAGCTCCTTCTTCTGACCGTGTAAAAACAGTAACTTTCTGATGCCTAAACCCCAGATTAACATCAATCAAAGAGGTTTTTGGAATCTTGTCACAGTCCAGATGAGACTCTGTGAGAAATCTTGTCCATCTGCCTCTCTTCACTTTGATGACACCATCCAGAGCTCAGTGTTGGCCAGTGATTATTTGGAATAAAAAGACACCTGAGAGCTGTGAGAAGTCAGTCGTACTCTGCAGGGTCCTCCAAATGTACCACATTCTCCTACAGAGGAAAAAAAAAGGTCAGATGAAAAGTAGAAACAAAGGAAAATATCAGTGTGGGTGCAACAGTCTACATCAATCAATCAATTCAATCAATCAATTTTATTTATAAAGCCCAATATCACAAATCACAATTTGCCTCACAGGGCTTTACAGCATACGACATCCCTCTGTCCTTATGACCCTCGCAGCGGATAAGGAAAAACTCCCCAAAAAAACCCCTTTAACGGGGAAAAAAAACGGTAGAAACCTCAGGAAGAGCAACTGAGGAGGGATCCCTCTTCCAGGACGGACAGACGTGCAATAGATGTCGTACAGAACAGATCAGCATAATAAATTAACAGTAATCCATATGACACAATGAGACAGAGAGAGAGAGAGAGAGAGAGAGAGAGAGAGAGAGAGAGAGAGAGATGCAGGTAATGACAGTAGCTTACAACAACATTATTGAAAGTAATAATATTATAGTTATAGTTCTGGCTACTGTGGTACAATATGTTGAAAGTATGTATTAATATCTGGCAGTATACATGTGTGACAATAGTCATATGTGTATAATAACAGTAGAAGTATGACTAATGACTAATGATGGCAGCAGCAGCAGGAGGCATCTGGCAGGACCACGGCAGCAGCACAACCACACACGTCACGCTGTCCAGGCACCGCTGCGATATGAGTTAATCTGAGAGACAGTGGAGCACAAAGGCTCCGGAGAAGAAGCCGAGTTAGTGACATCCAGAATGGCCGAGTTAGCAAGATGCAGTAATAGGATGAGAGTGAGAGAGAGAGAGAGAGAGAGAGAGAGAGAGAGAGAGAGGGAGAGAGAGGGAGCCCGGTGTATTATAGGGGGTCCTCCGGCAGACTAGGCCTAAGTCAGCCTAACTAGGGGCTGGTACAGGGCAAGCCTGAGCCAGCCCTAACTATAAGCTTTATCAAAGAGGAAAGTCTTAAGTCTAGTCTTAAATGTGGAGACGGTGTCTGCCTCCCGGACCGTAACAGGAAGATGATTCCACAGGAGAGGAGCCTGATAGCTGAAGGCTCTGGCTCCTGATCTACTTTTGGAGACTTTAGGGACCACGAGTAACCCTGCGTTCTCAGAGCGCAGTGTTCTGGTGGGATAATATGGCACTATGAGCTCTCTAAGATATGACGGAGCTTGACCATTTAGAGCTTTATAAGTTAACAGTAGGATTTTAAATTCAATTCTGGATTTTACAGGGAGCCAGTGCAGAGAAGCTAAAACAGGAGAAATATGATCTCGTTTCTTAGTTCCTGTTAGTACACGTGCTGCTGCATTCTGAATTAGCTGGAGAGTTTTTAAGGACTTACTAGAGCTACCTGATAATAGAGAGTTACAGTAATCCAGCCTTGAGGTAACAAAAGCGTGGACCAATTTTTCTGCATCTTTTCGGGTCAGGATAGGCCTAATTTTCGCAATATTACGCAGATGAAAAAATGCAGTCCGTGAGGTTTGCTTTAAATGAGAATTAAAAGACAAATCTTGATCAAATATTACTCCGAGGTTTCTTACGGTAGTGCTAGAGGCCAGAGCAATGCCATCTAGAGAAACTATGTCATCAGATAAAGAGTCTCTGAGTTGTTTGGGGCCAAGAACAATAACTTCAGTTTTGTCTGAATTTAACATCAGGAAATTGGTGCTCATCCAATTTTTTATGTCTTTAAGGCAGTTATGGAGTTTAGTTAATTGATTACTTTCTTCTGGCTTCATCGATAAATACAACTGTGTATCATCCGCATAACAATGGAAATTTATAGAGTGATTTCTAATGATGTTACCTAAAGGAAGCATATATAGAGTAAATAGGATTGGTCCGAGCACAGAACCTTGCGGAACTCCAAAACAAACTTTGGTACGTAAGGATGATTCATTACGAACGTCAACAAATTGAAAACGATCAGATAAATAAGATTTAAACCAGCTTAGTGCTGAACCTTTTAGGCCAATTAAGTGATCCAGTCTCTGCAGTAGAATTTGATGGTCAATTGTGTCAAACGCCGCACTAAGATCTAATAAAACAAGAACAGAGACGAGTCCTTTGTCTGAAGCAATCAGAAGGTCATTTGTAATTTTAACTAGAGCTGTCTCAGTGCTATGATGCACTCTAAATCCTGACTGAAATTCCTCAAATAAATTATTATCCTGGAGAAAATCACACAGCTGGTCTGCGACTACTTTCTCAAGGATCTTTGACATAAAGGGAAGATTAGATATTGGTCTATAGTTGGCTAACACCTCTGGATCCAGGGTGGGCTTTTTTAGGAGAGGTTTAATTACAGCTACCTTAAAAGACTGTGGTACATAGCCTGTTAATAGGGATATATTGATCATATCTAATATATGAGTGTTAACTAAAGGAAAGACCTCCTTAAGTAGCCTAGTTGGGATGGGGTCTAAGAGACACGTTGATGATTTAGATGAAGAAATCACTGCGGTCAATTCTTGAAGAGAAATTGGGGAGAAGCAATCTAAATATATATTAGATTCTACAGCTGTGTTTGAGGTTAGATAGGTAGGCCTACCATCTGAGGGCAGGAGGTCATGAATTTTGCCTCTAATAGTTAGAATTTTGTCATTAAAAAAGCTCATAAAATCATTACTGCTAAGGGCTAAAGGAATACAAGGCTCAATAGAGCTTTGACTCTCAGTCAGCCTGGCTACAGTGCTGAAAAGAAACCTGGGGTTGTTCTTGTTTTCTTCTATTAATGCTGAGTAATAGTTTGCTCTGGCATTGCGGAGGCCCCTCTTATAAGTTTTGAGACTGTCTGTCCAGATTAAACGAGATTCTTCCAGTTTGGTTAATCGCCAATTCCTTTCAAATTTTCGCGATATTTGTTTTAACCTACGGGTTTGAGAGTTATACCAAGGAGCAAACTTTCTTTGCTTTGTTAACTTCTTTTTAAGAGGAGCTACAGAGTCGAGCGTTGTTCGCAGCGAGCCTACGGCGCTATCAACAAAATGATCAATTTGGGAGAGGTTAAAGTCGGCACGGGAAACCTCTGTTACTGAAGGTATTGGTATTGAATTTAACGACGAAGTAATCTTTTCCTTAAATTTTGTGACAGCACTATCTGATAAACATCTAGTATAGTAACTGTTGCTGAGTGGCGTGTAATCGAGTAAAAAGAAATCAAAAGTAATCAGATAATGATCTGATAGCAAGGGATTCTGTGGAAAGACTTTTAGGTTATCAATTTCAATTCCATACGTCAGAACTAGATCGAGGGTATGGTTAAAACAGTGAGTGGGTTCATGTACACCCTGACTGAAGCCAATGGAGTCTATTAATGAGATAAACGCGGTAGCCAGGGAGTCATTATCAACGTCGACATGAATGTTAAAATCGCCTACAATAATAACTTTATCTGATTTAAGAACTAAACTGGATAAAAACTCTGAGAATTCAGATACAAATTCAGAATACGGGCCAGGAGCACGGTACACTATAACAAATAAAAGTGGCTGCGAGGTTTTCCAGGTCGGATGTAAAACACTAAGAACGAGGCTTTCAAATGAATTATAATCTAGTTTAGGTTTAGGGCTGATTAACAGACTAGAGTTAAAAATGGCTGCAACTCCCCCTCCTCGGCCGCTGCCTCGAGGAATGTGGGTATTATTATGACTGGGAGGAGTGGACTCATTTAGACTAACATATTCATCTTGACACAGCCAGGTTTCAGTGAGACTGAGTAAATCAATATGATTATCTGATATTAATTCGTTTACTAACACTGCTTTAGACGATAGAGACCTGATATTTAACAGTCCGCATTTAATTCTCCTGTTTTGTCTTTCTGTCACAGAAGAGGTTTTAATTTTTATGAGGTTGTTATGCACAACTCCTCTTTGTTTAATTTTAGATTTAAATAATTTAGGTGGTCGGGGGACAGACACCGTTTGTATAAAACTATGAAAACTATGGCTGGGTAACTGAACTAGAAGCTCAGAGAGGCGTTTAGGACTGCAACTCTCTGTCCTGGTCTCAACTCTGGGTTGTCAGGGATTTAAATTACTAATAAAATTTGCCAGGTTCCTAGAAATGAGAGCAGCTCCATCCAAAGTGGGGTGAATGCCGTCTCTCCTAATAAGACCAGGTTTTCCCCAGAAAGTTTGCCAATTATTAACAAAACCCACATCGTTTGCTGGACACCACCTGGACAGCCAGCGGTTAAATGATGACATGCGGCTAAACATGTCATCACTGGTCAGATTTGGGAGGGGTCCAGAGAAAACTACGGAGTCCGACATCGTTTTTGCATATTCACACACCGAGGCAATATTAATTTTAGTGACCTCCGATTGGCGTAACCGGGTGTCATTGCCGCCGACGTGAATAACAATCTTACTGAATCTACGTTTAGCTTTAGCCAGCAGTTTTAAATTTGACTCAATGTCGCCCGCTCTGGCCCCAGGGATACATTTGACTATGGCCGCTGGTGTTGCTAACTTCACGTTCCTCAGAATAGAGCTGCCAATAACCAGAGTTTTATCCTCAGCGGGTGTGTCGCTGAGTGGGGAAAAGCGGTTGGAAACGTGAACAGGCTGGTGGTGAGCCGTGGGCTTCGGCTTGGAGCTGCGCCTCTCACGAACAGTTACCCAGCCTCCCGGCTGCACGGGAGTTGCCGGAGGACAGTTAGCAGAGGCTAAGGCTATGCTATGTGGCTCCGCACCGGCTACAGGGGTCTGGCTAACTACCGCAGCTACTGAATGGTTTTCCATGGTGTGGAGCCGCGCTTCTAATTCACTAAGCCTCGCCTCCAACGCAGCAGATAAGCTACACTTATTACAATTACCACTGTTGCTAAAGGAGGCAGAGGCATAACTGAACATTTGGCACACCGAGCAAGAAAGAGCAGAAGGAGAAACCATCGCTAACTGTAAAGCTAATGTAGCTACCAAGGCTAGTAACGTGCAAACAACAGCTAAGAGATTAGCAAGAAAGTCGTAGAAAGGAGGAGAGCTATAAGTGCTTAAACAGAACCATTTTGGGTTAAGACTTGAAGTAGACGTTAAAGCAACTGAAGTGAGAAAGCAGGCTAGAAGAATTCACTAGAGCAGTACAGAGACGCTGTCACAGAAACACCGGAAATGACACAACTCGCTTACCGCAATACGTCAGCAGGTCAGCACGTCATTCCTCGAACCATGTGTGTGAACATGTGTAAATGTGTGTAAATGTTGACAATTGCACTTGTCTGTGAGGCCCTAATGACCAAACAGATTGTGCAGGATACTTTGAGCATTTTAGGCAAAAATGAATATACAGTAAACTGATCTGTAACTCTGGTCCCAGGCTGTTATTTGCTTAAATCACTGAAGTCAACAGCTTTATATTAGGGACAGGCGTCTATACAGGACAGGCCTTTAATTCCTTTTACACAAAACTGTTGCTCGGCAAAGACTGGGAAACACAATCAGTTTCTTTTATATACATATTTGAACCAGTACATTGTATAAAAATTAAGCTTCAAATGACATATCAATTATAAATCATTTATTTGATCTAGCTCTGACAGACAAGGCATCAGAGAGAGTGTTATGATTTTTGACTTTATGACTTTTTCAGCACTTCAGCATAACTGCCTAGTTTGACAGTTTCGCTGCAGTTCACAAGCTCACAAAATGAATTAAGAATTTTGATACTGCATTGCCTATTTCTCACCTCAAATGCTTTCAGAAACTAATTTTAGTGAACTGTTTAGCTGTAAAAAGAAGTTGGTGCGGCTGGTGGGTGGTGCTTAGTACTCCGTTTAACTGTGTTCAGTGTGGTGGCTGGGTCACAAACTTCCTTGTGGCTGATTTCAGCAATGTGGAAAAGTCCACAAGATTTCATAACGACACTGTAGAGACAATTGGTTATACACACTATGAAGCAGACAGCATCAGGAAAAGGTAAGGAAAAATGTTTAATGTAAGGTCCTTTCCATAATGATGTCAGACTCCTTAAATAACAATCTGAGCCCGTCAGTGGCAAAAACAAACACTTTCAGTGGATGTAAATTGACAGTGTACAGTTGCCCGTAGGGATTACAATGCAGCCTCTTTTGCCACTGCAGCTGCAGCAGTCTCTCTCAATACAGGACCATTTTCAAAAATTGTTGTCTCAATTAGTCACAAAAACATGGGAATATAAGACCTGGGTTTGAAAGTTACCCTTTAAAATCAATAAAAAACTTGAATTACTGCCTACTGGTTGTATGCCTCCACGTGCCAGTCAAGGTTCTCTGACAGTTTACATCCATGTCTGTGAACACATGTATGCTTCACACATATCATCCCCCAGCAACACAGAAGATCTATACAATCAGCCCAGTTTATATATATTTTCGCTTCTGTTCCTGAGGTATGAAGTTGAATAATGGCCAGAAAAGTGTTTTATGCAAAACATTATGATGTCATAATGAAGCTGACCTTTGACCTTTTGGATATAAAATGTCATCACTTCATTATTTTATCCTCTTAGACATTTATGTGAAGTTTTGTCATAAATAGCATGTGAATATGGCCAAAAACATATTTTGTGAGGTCACCTCGACCTTCGACCACAAAATTAAAAAGAAATAATAATAATGATAATAATAATAATAATTCAGTTTATTCTTCAGTCTGTGTGGACATTTGTGCCAATTTTAAGAAAATCTCTTGAGATAATGTGTTCACAAGGATGGGGCATACAGATGGATGGACAACCCGAAAACATAAAGCCTCTAGCCATGGCTATCACCAGCACGGAGGCATAAAAATAGGTGCAATGGAATAAAATGAATGAACTGATTAGTAAATGAAACTAGTATTCCTGTTAAAAAGAGGATTTTAATACAGCAGAATTAGTTCTGTGGTAATAATAATAATAATAATAATAGATTTTATTTATAACGCACTTTACATTTGAATACAAATCTCAAAGTGCACTGTGGTAATGTGCATTATACTGAATGGTGCAGGTACTGTAACCCTGAGCCCCCATCCCCATCAATGTTTTTTTTACACAGTTCACGCAGGCAATTACAGCATTTGACATTCGGCCATTATTTGAATACCAGCTTCTATATGAGAGATGTCTTAAATGCACTAGAGGAATTTCAAAATGATTCATTAAATCACTCACCCATCCTCCATGGCTCTTGACCCAGGGAGCAAATGTCTCCATGTAGCACTCTGCGTAGCCTTGCATGCGCTGGGTGCCTGTGGCTGTCACTATCCTCCGTGATACCTCCATGGTGACAGCCATACGTCTTAGTGTTGGACTAGCCGTTGGCGGCAGGGTTGGAGCCCCAGATACCTGAATACTGTTGAAAGTGTCTAGAAGCTTGGCAAACGATGCATAGGAAAGACGAGTCAAGCTGGAGCGTAGAAAGGGGTCTGACTGGATCTGTAAACAGACACGTATTTTGCAATATAGGTAGTGTGGAAGGCTTACTCTGCAAGTAAAACTTTGTTGTATATTCATCTGTTTGTGTCTATTGTTGCTGTTTGTACAGAGTCATAGCTGGCAAAGCAAAGCTCCTGAGCAACAAAACCAACCACTATATGTCCAGAAAGCTGGACTCACATGTCCCATCTTTTCATACAAAGTATCAAAGGGCAGCATGGATTGACTGCAGTTTGCTGATGTTACTTCACAGAATTTGAGTCAAAGATCCAAAGCCTACTGTCAACACAGTGAGCTACCAGTATTTGACAAGCAGCTTTACATAACTTATGATGAAACACTGCCTACCTTAGTGTTGATAGAATCTCCCTCCAAAGACAGCACCTGAGCAAGCTGCTGCACCACTGCGTCTTTCTCACTCGCTGCTAAAAAATCACAAGCAACAACCTTACAGTCAGTGAGTTGTTGTGTCTTTACTTTAGGCTAGTTTCAGACTAAACAAAATCCACTCATTGGTGTCAGCTTGTGCCCACAGATGTGAGAAGATGAAATACAAACCAGTTAGTCCAGTTTGGGGAAGAGATCCATGAGCGCCACATGCTGTGGTGTATCCATTTTGTTTGAAGCCTCAGTAGTGCAAGGAGCACGGCTGTTGAGAGAAATTTCTTTGAGGGCTTTCTCCCACAAAGGTATCTCTTGGTTAAGATTAGGAAAAAAGTCTTGGTTTGGGTTAAAATTAATAGACTTCATATTGGTAGTTCCAGTTTACACAGATGAACATGTGTGTGAGGAAAGCTTATTCTGCATGAATAGCTTGGTTTGGGTTAAAATGAAGAGATTTCTTCAGAAAGAGCTTTCTTGGAGAAAGTCTACAAGGAAAACCTCTCCCATGTGCAAGAAGCACATGTATGCACATCTGTACACTGTGTAATTACCCTTGACAAAGAATAATCTGTAACTCTAAAAACACTACTGCTATTTAATATGTATTTCTTTGGACAGTTACTTTTGCTTTTAAGAACATATATATATATAATGTTTTACCAAATACCACATTATGCTTTCATGTACTTTCCTCATTGACATTTTCATTTACTTTGTATACCGTAATTTTTAACTGTTGTTTATGTGTTGTGTAATGTTTAACTTGGTCTCCAAAAAAGTCTTTCAAACTTGGATTCTGTTGTAAGTGCTTACTGGGACTGCATTAGGCTCACTGTCTAGGCTCTATAGGTAAATCATAGACATATATAAAATTATGGACATGACCACCATAACGTCAGGTTTGAGGACTCCTGTTCTAAAGACTCCAGTTTTCAGTCGTCACCATTTTGTTTTGAGACTGAGACCCGAGGACACTGCCACACCGCTTTGAGTATTTTTGCGATAACACCATTCTTGACGATATGACAAATTAGTAAAAAATATTGTATTATTACTTTAAGAGCATCAATTGTAACAAAATAATCAATATAGTTTAGTATAGGGAAAAAAAATCTCTTTCAGCAAAATCCTTGATGAGTTGTTTTTTTCTTTTCCACCTGGACCTTTATGCTCTGCCATTTCTCCTCTAATGATCACATTGTAACCTGTGACAGGCTGTTATGCTGCCATAACTATTGCACAAATATATTCAAAATAGTCCAAACAAATTCATATAGCCTACTTTTTACCTAAGTGTTGTTTTGTCATACCTTGACAGTTTCGACGTCAAGGGTCAGTCGTCATCATCAGAAGTCGTCATCATCAGAAGCGTCACGTGATGTGGTGACGTGTCCTGCAGATGTTTTATCCAGGTTGTCATTCCACCTGAGTGGTGGAATGACAGTGCCCCCTGGCGCCAGGTGCCAGGTCCACCACAGTCCATCAGGCAACAGGGGACAGGGCCCCCCGCCATTAGGTAGTGTATCTGATGGCGACAACCTGGATAAAACATCTACAGGACACGTCACCACAACATCACATGACGCTTCTGATGACGACGACTGACGCAGTCGTCGAAACTGTCAAGGTATGACAAAACAACACTTAAGCCTGTAATATGAACCATATCAAGCTAAGATATATTCAGAATATTATCTTAACTATTAAATTATCATATTCAAATATATGTAGTTTTTTATCAAGCCACAAGTGTCACCCAGGTTTACATTACCAAATGTTTATGACAAAATCACTTGACAACACCGACTCCTGAATGCGCATGGCGAGAGAGGAGAGGGAGAGTCACTGTGCTGCTGCCAGAAGAGCCACTGAATGAGTTCCCTCTGAACGGTAAGTCACTAAAAGAGTCTAAGAAGTTCAGGGCTGTTCATAAAACATTAAGGACGCCACAGTTTATTCCACACTACTGAAGCTGCTCCTCTTTTTGGAACCACCACAGAGTCTGTAATGATTTCGCTTTCAACCATGTTTGTTCTTGCCGTGCGTGACTACATTACGTCAACATGTACACAAGTTGAAATATCGTGAGTAACGTGATGTGAATATTTACAGCCTGGAAAAAAGTTTAGGTCTCTATAGCTAATTTCAACATTCACGACAACTGTACGGGGGCTGCTTTTTCATATAACTTAAATGTTTACATTTTATTAAGGCTAAAAGTTGCGCATAATTAGGGGCGGGCCACTTTGAGTGACAGGCCCTCTGCCCATAGTGTCCTCAGCTTCTCAGTTAGATCCACCTCCTTCACAGTTCCACCGTCTTGCCCAAACATGGTCACTTCTGGCTCCCAAAAAACAAGATGGTTTTGAGGTCAAGACTTCAAAACAGGAATCCACGAAGTACCGGGTGATGTCATGGTAGCTATGTCCATTATTTTCACTGTATATGCTGGGAACAGTGGACAGTGTGGGCATATCCAAGCTCACCTGCTATTTTGGTTTAGCCCATTTCTCAAATCACAGGCTGCAGATTTATTAACATATGTGTCCCTCTGCCTTCAGATGATTTAATGAACTGAAGGAGAAACTCCTCATACAGTATAAAGCAGCTATGGACAACAAATACTGTGAATCACTCATATTCAATTAGAGGCAAATGCAAAAATGCTTGACTGATGCCTAATGAAACAGAGCTACTAGCTGTTTGACAAACTCATCAGACTGGCTGATGATGATATTCTCAGTGTCTAAGACTCATTTTTCGCCAAAATACCAACAAATCTCTTTGTGCTGCTTCATTTGAATGAACCTCCCATCTGTTTGTTCCTCTCCTTCCATCTGTGCACACCAAAATACCATAGACAGAAAAATTAAAAAATACCAAACCGTCATGGTGTGTGTGTGTGTGTGTGTGTGTGTGTGTGTGTAATTACCTAGTGTGGGGCTCAGTTTCTTTACACTGGTGGACCTCTGGGCAATCTTTTCCAGCTTCTCTGCTACTTCATCATAGAACTCAGGAGGATGGTCTGCATCAACATGAACCACAACACCATAAGATCTCAGATCAACACCTTAAATCTATTTAAAACATTAAACTTTTACCACTCTCTTCTGAAGTCATGTCAGTAATGTCCACATACATATAAAACACAGGTTAGAACCAGATGCAATCAAAGCTAAACACAGAGTTCTGTGTTTGTTTGTCAATCAACTTCAACATGCTCCCTACAATGATAGACAGACTGGGTGGTGGCACAAAATATTAAAGCATGCAGATTCAAAGCAATGAAAGTTTAGAAATTCACATTTTAACTTCAGGCTTAGCAGCAAGTTCATAAACATAAACACAGTTAGAGTTAGAGCTGGTTTGGGTAGTTTTACAGTGTAATGAAAGAGCTCACTGGGAGAGACAAGGGTCGGGGTAGGCTCTGGTTCTTTGGCGATTGACAGTGTGGTAGGTCTCTGAGGAGGAGATCCAGGCCTCTCTTTGTCCTTCTCTTTCTCTAACTTTAACTTGAAGATCTTGGAGAGCTTTTTCTTAAACTTCTTTCGGCTCAGCTTCTTCTGCTGTTTCTTCTCACTGTCCTCATCTTCTGATGTAGAGGAGGGGGATACGACATCATCCTATGGGAAAAGATTGTTCTGCTCAATATTAAGGCTGTGGTGATTCTGCTGTGAGTGTGTTAATAATTTGCCTTCATTGATATGCTTTGACTACTGCATTACTACCACATTTACCTAATGGCAAACTAATCTCTTCCCAGTTAACTGGAAATGGAGTCCTTTTAACATACTGTTATCACATGAGAAATATAGCTTTACTCCCAGTTTATAGTAGCTATAATATATTAGATACAGTACAGGCCAAAAGTTTGGACACACCTTCTCATTCAATGCGTTTTCTTTATTTTCATGACTATTTACATTGTAGATTCTCACTGAAGGCATCAAAACTATGAATGAACACGTGTGGAGTTATGTACTTAAAAAAAGGTGAAATAACTGAAAACATGTTTTATATTCTAGTTTCTTCAAAATAGCCACCCTTTGCTCTGATTACTTCTTTGCACACTCTTGGCATTCTCTCGATGAGCTTCAAGAGGTAGTCACCTCAAATGGTTTTCCAACAGTCTTGAAGGAGTTCCCAGAGGTGTTTAGCACTTGTTGGCCCCTTTGCCTTCACTCTGCGGTCCAGCTCACCCCAAACCATCTGGATTGGGTTCAGGTCCGGTGACTGTGGAGGCCAGGTCATCTGCCGCAGCACTCCATCACTCTCCTTCTTGGTCAAATAGCCCTTACACAGCCTGGAGGTGTGTTTGGGGTCATTGTCCTGATGAAAAATAAATGATCGTCCAACTAAACGCAAACCGGATGGGATGGCATGTCGCTGCAGGATGCTGTGGTAGCCATGCTGGTTCAGTGTGCCTTCAATTTTGAATAAATCCTCAACAGTGTCACCAGCAAAACACCCCCACACCATCACACCTCCTCCTCCATGCTTCATAGTGGGAACCAGGCATGTGGAATCCATCCGTTCACCTTTTCTGCATCTCACAAAGACATGGCGGTTGGAACCAAAGATCTCAAATTTGGACTCATCAGACCAAAGCACAGATTTCCACTGGTCTAATGTCCATTCCTTGTGTTTCTTGGCCCAAACAAATCTCTTCTGCTTGTTGCCTCTCCTTAGCAGTGGTTTCCTAGCAGCTATTTGACCATGAAGGCCTGATTCGCGCAGTCTCCTCTTAACAGTTGTTCTAGAGATGGGTGTGCTGCTAGAACTCTGTGTGGCCATCATCTGGTCTCTGATCTGAGCTGCTGTTAACTTGCGATTTCTGAGGCTGGTGACTCGGATGAACTTATCCTCAGAAGCAGAGGTGACTCTTGGTCTTCCTTTCCTGGGTTGGTCCTCATGTGTGCCAGTTTCGTTGTAGCGCTTGATGGTTTTTGCGACTCCACTTGGGGACAAATTTAAAGTTTTTGCAATTTTCCGGACTGACTGACCTTCATTTCTTAAAGTAATGATGGCCACTCGTTTTTCTTTAGTTAGCTGATTGGTTCTTGCCATAATATGAATTTTAACAGTTGTCCAATAGGGCTGTCGGCTGTGTATTAACCTGACTTCTGCACAACACAACTGATGGTCCCAACCCCATTGATAAAGCAAGAAATTCCACTAATTAACCCTGATAAGGCACACCTGTGAAGTGGAAACTATTTCAGGTGACTACCTCTTGAAGCTCATCGAGAGAATGCCAAGAGTGTGCAAAGCAGTAATCAGAGCAAAGGGTGGCTATTTTGAATAAACCAGAATATAAAACATGTTTTCAGTTATTTCACCTTTTTTTGTTAAGTACATAACTCCACATGTGTTCATTCATAGTTTTGATGCCTTCAGTGAGAATCTACAATGTAAATAGTCATGAAAATAAAGAAAACGCATTGAATGAGAAGGTGTGTCCAAACTTTTGGCCTGTACTGTATATTGAACAGATAAGGTCATGAGTGTTCCAGAGTTCTATAGTGTAAAGTATGTTAAACTGAATGTTAAGGCACCATAACCCATACACGATCAAAGTCTGTATAGTTGAAATTGTATGAATATTATACAGAGCTTGAGATAATAAAGAATAAGCACTCCAGGAAAAGGTTTCTTGTAGGGATGCAAAAAATTTATCGGCCACACATCTGTGTTACCCAATACTGGACTTGACTGCAATCGGCCTGTCAGCAAATACGATGACATTCACTAATGGCAGTGGCTAATGTTTGTCCGTTGTGTCACACATTTTTGCTCAGTAGACAGTAGAAATCATTTTTTGGGATGAAAAGAGATCTTCCCTGGAACACCTTTGGGACAAAAGGACACAGGAAACTCACTATTGATGCATCAAGGGACGCATTGTTTCACTAATAATGCTTCATTGTGAACAACAAATCCATGTTGAAAATCTCCTGCTGTCAACACCAAACACGCTGGGTCCAACTTCGTCTGATAAATTGCCATTCAAAAATTGCTGTACGATATGATGTGATGCGATAGAATACGATATGGTACGATTCGATACGGTAGGATTTCGAAACGATACAACTTTATTGTCAGTTTACACTGAAATTTATTTTGCGCCCTCAGACAGCTCAACACAAATTAGACATAATTTACAAATTACACAAACAACCCATACCCCTAAAAAGCACACCAAACAGTCAAATGTGGTTCATTTGTACTGAGGGATCTTTCTCTCCAGTCTTACATGTTTTAAGTTACATTCTGTTAAACTGGGAACAATAATATTTTGCTAAACTGACCATAGAAAATAGAGGTTGTGGTCTTTCTTTACAAACAAGACTAGAAGCTTAAAGTGAAGAATTGGTTGTCATCTGAAATGTAAATATATAATATATAAATGCTGGCTTCACTGGGTCTTTATGGTGGTGAAAGAGGAACGCAAATGGATTGTCCAAAATGCTCTGGCAAGTGAAGCTGTGTTTGATAAATTTCGTGGCGCTGCAGTTGCAGTTTTGTGTAAAGTAGAAATTCATGCCCTGAAGATAAAGTTTGTGTTTCAACAAAACCATCAGTATACCAAGAAATAAAGGACATCTGGTCATTAGTTGATAAATGTCTTGCACTATAGACCTCAGTGCTGGACAGAGACTGATAGACAGACTGACCAGCCTAATGATGTCATTGTCCTCTAAGCCCCACCACTAGAGGACACATTGGACACCAGTTTAAGGTGATTCTAAATGACTTGAAAACAGGCTCATCTGTCTGTAGATGTTTTGAATGTTTTTTGATATCTTATAATTCTGTGTTCTTTGCTTTAATTTTAAATTGTCATATGTTTGTATTATGTCTGATTTTGTGCTGCTGCCTGTCTTTGTCAGGACACTCTTGAAAAAGACATTTCTAATGTCAAGAAGTATTTTACTCCTGGTTAAATAAAGATTAAATGAAAAATAGACAAAGAGGAACTGCTTATCAAGCAAAATGTACTTTTTTAAATTAAAAAATGCAACATCTTACTTCTATTTGGTCTCTGAGGTGTGACGGTTTTGTCTTGTTGTCCCTGTCCAGTGAGCGGCGTGAGCTGTTGTATCGAGGCAGCTGCTTTATGAAGTCCTTGAATCCAGAATTCTTCTCATCTGCTGAATTGCATTCTTCAGCTTGAGAATCCCACCCATCCTTTGCTTTGGGTTGTGGCTTGGAGCTAGCACTGAAAAGACCAAAGTATGGTGAACTACAGGGCTGGTATCACACCATTCAGCACTATTTCAACTCAGGTTGATCCTTCATGCATCTACTGTTCTTACCATATTAGCACACTTAAAGTAACAATCATTAAAATCCATTACAAAAAAAATCAGATGAACTTATTTTCATAGTGTCAGAAAAATGTTCATAATCCACGTGTGTATCAAAATTTCTATCATGACTGAAATGAAACTGTATTAACTAACTGTATTGTCAGCACTCATTGACACAACACTGCATTGATGGTGGCTTTCTACATTCACAGCCAACAAACTTAACTCATCATACTCACAGTTGATTAAACTAATTGTAATGTACTTAGTTTAATGCCAAAATCTCCAAATAATGAGTCAGAGCCACTTTAAATGATACTGCAACAGAAACAACACCATTATGTCAAATGTGCACAGCATCCTGCGGCTCCTGCTTTCTGTGATCTTTCATACCCCTTTCCCATCAAAATTAGTGCATGTATTTAAAAAACAGGTAAACCTGCTAAAAATAGGCGTTAGATTTTTTTCCCACTGCCAGTAGACCAGAGCTGTGTTCATGGCTCTACTGCAGGTGAGTATGCCTTTCTGTGTGAGGAGTTCTTTTCTGGTGTGTCACATTCAACATCACAGACAGGCCAGGCCAGTAAACAGTAGAGAGGAGCATGGAGGCCAATGGAAATGTACAGTGGTTACTTCTTTTTATATATCTCTTATTTATTTAGTCTCAGTGTTTGGATCAATGTTTGGAGCACTGCCTGGATGGAGAGGGACGGTAATTTGTGGTGGCACGTCATTGCATCTCGCCGTAAAGGGACTAAAATTAGCGTGTTCATCGGGTTGTCTTCTCATCAATAACAATCAGAGCCGGAGGCGATTAACACCTGTGACTACTGCAGTCATTTGACCTGGGTGTGAATGCCAATTAAAACCTTTTCCAAATCCAGATGTTGGCAGGTGTTAGTGGGTATTTGTGCAGTGGGAAAGGGGCTTTATACTGTGTTTAATGCAGCCAAATCATCATATAGTTTTTCTCATTTACATACTGTATATTTCGGTGTCAGACAACAGAACAAGTATGAAAAATTGTCTGAATCTTTAAAGTTTCACCAAAGTACCTCACTTTGCACTGACTGATTTAAGTGAAATCTGAGACTCTCCTCAGACCATTGCACTGTGTATTATGTGGGGAGTGACCATATTTGGAAGAGAGGGTGGAGCTGTGAAGGAGCAAGGGATGGATTTGACTTGGAGCTCGAGGACACTATCGGAAGACAGCCTGTCACTCAAAACAGCCCAAACTTTCAGCATTAAATACTTATAAACAGGTTAGAAATATATTCCCCCTCAAGTGGCCTATAAAGGAACTGCAGTTTTTGGCAGTTGTGCATTAGCGTCATTTTTCAGCCCCTGGGATTGCCGCTTGATCAGTCCTCATTTTTGTTATCTTCTCCACCATCTTGATTGTAAGGGAGCCGGGGGCCAATCCCACTGGGTTCAGCTGTACTGTGTACCTGCTGCCATGGCTGAAATTCAGATTTTGTTTTGTCCTCCACATGGTGTCATACCACACTGGGAACATTTCAGAAGCAGAGCATTTTGCCTGCCTGATTTTGTAGAATTGCAGATTTTTTTGATTTGGTCATTTTCCTGGATATTTGTGGTTTTGCAGAGGCACAAGTAAGAAGCCTATCAAGTTAAATGGTTTCTTTCTCATTTTATTTTCATTCTGTTTAATGTTAATTCCTACTAAGTTGTGCTGTAGCCTACAGACAAAGTTAATACCATAAAAGTCCAGTTATGAACAACATGGATCAAAGATTTGTGGCTGTGTTTTTGTCATTTAAAATACATTCATCCCCATAATTATATTGTATCAATGCAGATTTGTATTAATTTCTGGGATGCTTTAGAAATGCGGTGTGCTACGTCTGCTGGTATCACAAGATTTGTCAGGAGTGGCCAAGATCATATTGGGCAGCCGCAGCTGAAAGCGGATGCCTGTCAAAGATGTGGACTCTACTTAGTGCACTTTTCTAGTTCACAACTGTGATGAACTTACTCAGTAAGAATATTGAGCCTTTATGTGCTGTTTTTGTGTCTGGCTTCAAAGTTAGAGGTTCAAAAAATACATGTGGTGGAGTAAGACCAAGACAGATGAGATTAATAAAATTAAATCATTATATATGATTATTTGTTGACACCAGTACCCAGTCTGAGGTACAAGGAGATTTGTTTGTTGTTGAGAAAAGGTAAAACAAAACAAAACAAAAAATCAACAAAAACCATACAGCAGAAGCCCAGAGAGGTGTGTTACCTGTACTTGTTATGATCTCTGTAGGCCCCTCCTACAGTCCCAGGCCTCTCTGTCAGGGGGAGGGAAACAGTCCGATGGAGGAAAGCTTGAAGGACTAGATGAGTCTCAGCTCTGATCTCTCTCAGAGAGATGGAGGAGATGGAGGAGATGGAGGAAGAGCTGCCTATAGACTCTGTCATAACTGTAAAACAGAAAAAACAATTTTCAAAGGTTAATTTTCTTATTCTGTGTTATTTAAGTGAGAACCCTCCTTAAAAGACATCAAGTATGGTGGGTCTGTTGCACTATCATTAGTTTCACTGCAGTTTAAAGATCAACAACAGTTCAAGTCATGTTTTGTGTCCCAATTAAACACTACATTATGCAGTATGTACTATATGCCCTTTTTACTACTATACTAAGTTTTTAGTTACCATACAAAAAATCTATGTATTTTGCCATTTTTATCAACAGTAAAAAGGACAATGACAAGACTTGCACCAAACACACCAACCAAACAGCAGCACTGCCATTTAAACTTTACAAAACAGACAGAAAAATGTTTTTCCAAATGGTTTAATAGTTATTTGTCTTCTGAACGTTTAATGACGCTCTATAATTTAGATAACAGATAACAGGTATTCTAAAGCACTTCAGTCAGGCATTTATGCTCACAAATGCCCACATATTTAACAGTTGTGAACTGACAGAACAGTCAGGTTTTATGTATCAAATTGGGAATGATCCCAAGTTTAGGTTTTAGGATACTGAAATAAATAAAACCTACATATACAGTGTGTTTGGCATGTAAATGTCTATGTATGTGAATACATTTTGGCTGCAATTGCCATTTGAAATTTAGTAGTGAAATACATGAGCCTCAAAGGATGTATTCTTCAGACTCTAGTGCCACCATGAGGTTCACATTTGTGGTTTTGAGTGAAATGTCTCAACAACTATAAAATAAATTACCATGGTCCACATATTAATCATCCTCAAAATGAGTTGTAATAACATCTGTAAACTCTTCACTTTTCATGTAGCCTCAGCTGTACTTTGTGTTTAGTGCTAATTAACACATATTAGCATGCTAACATGCTAAACCAAGCAAGTGAACTTTGTTATAGTTGCACTTTCCTAAACATGGTTGAGGTATATTTCCATCCATCACTAGGGCTAAAAATGATCTTTATATTGTACACAGCCTTACTACAACCAAAATTAGCTACAGCCAACATAGCGAAAATACCCCAAGAGTCAACGAGAGCTGGGGTGGAAAATGACTCACAGGTGGATTACACGGTAACAGACATTGGAACGGACACGACTATGCATTGGATCTGTGACTCAGTGAAGGATATGGGCACGGACCTATCCACCAGAGCTAGAATTAGCAGCACTCAGGGCAAGGCGAGCGCATCTGTAGAGGATAAAAGTAGCACAGTTGAGAACAAGATGCTTCAGGTTTGTCCTTGCGGCTGGCAGGAAGTAACATCACTAAAAAGCCTCAGAACTCATCAGGGAAAGAAGAAGTGTGTGGCAAAGAAAGGGCAGAGTAGCCGCATTGATCAGTACTTCCTATAAAGTCCAGCGGCAGGAAGAAAACCACAGTTCGCAGGATATCAGTAACACTGCCACTGAGGAGGAGGAGGAGGAGGTAGTAAGAGAGGATGCAGGTGACACTGAGGTCAGTATGCCAGTCAGAGAGAGAACCATGGAGCAAAAGGTTAGAGTTAGATGGCCTAGGGCAAATGACAGTAAAGAATGGGAGATAGTTAATAGAGATTTGTCAGTAATCTTAAGTAGGCTTAGAGGAAATGCAATTGAAAGTTTAGAAAAGATGGGAGTTATAATTTACTCATATGGTGCAGAGAGGTTCGGGGTGCATGAGAGAAAAAGGAGTGAGAGGGTGCAGTCAGGGAAATCTAGGTGGCAAAGAGAAATAGAGAAATAGAGAGAGAAATAAATATATTATTATCCATAAATATTATCTGACTCATATCAGTTTGTTCTCAGTCTCCAATTGATTTAATCATGATAGATTAATTTACTAAAATGCTGATGGGCAGTGCCATGTGAAGACGGAGTTTGGTTGGGCTCCTCATCGGACAACCAATTTCATATTATTACTCTTTTTAAACCACTCTCTACAACCCTACACATTTTTATAAACAAGTAGACAATTTTTCAATTGCTGAGAGGAAAATGCCAAAAAACGTCACCAGGGAAGCAACAAGTCAGAGTCGGAAGCTAACACTAATGCTAACGCTAGTGCAGCAGAGGATGCAAATAACGATAACCAGTATGCAGTCCTGCTGGCCATCGAGTCTTTAAAGCAAGATTTGATGGCGAAAATGGAAGAAAAGGCCACAGCCCAGTCGGCAGAACTCCGAAGCCAGATTAGCCAGATCCAGACAGAACTACGATGTGTTTTGGAAGTTAATAAACGAATGGAGGCAGCCGAGAGCCGGGTGTCCGAGCTGGAGGCGGAGGTTAGCGGCCGCTCGGACTCAGGTGCCTCCATGGAAGCAGATTTCGGCGACATGAAAAAAGAACTGGCCACACTGAGAGACCGCTGCGAGGATTTGGAGCGGTATTTCGGCGACATGAAAAAAGAACTGGCCACACTGAGAGACCGCTGCGAGGATTTGGAGGCGAGATTGCGGCATTACAATTATCTCGAGAAGCCTCCGACCATAGACCAGGCACATCACACCCTCCGTAGTAGACCGACGCAAGACAACCTCCCACCTCAGGCATTTGTGGTGAAGTGCCATTATTTCTCCGAAAAAGAGTCGCTTCTGAAGAAAGCCATGAAGATGAAGTAAGTCAGTGACGACCACAGACGGCGACCATATCCGAATCCTGACGGATTTCACCCAGACCGTGAGTAAACAATGGGCAGCCTTCACTGAGGTGAGAGGACTGCTTCGGGGCTGTGAGGGGGTTCGCTACGGCCTGAGATACCCAGCAATATTGAGAATAACCACAGCAGACGGTCAAGAGGCGAGTTTCAAGGATCCAAAGCTGGCTAAGGAGTTCATTTTAAAGAAGGTGATGCACAAGACTTCATAATGGACGTGTGTTGGTGAGTAGCTGATGACAAAGGTACCAGTTTTATCAACCCAGGAGATGGAGGCAAGACACACCAAGGACAGTTTTCTTTTCTTTTGAAAGGTTCAGGGGTGTTTTTTCCTGCTCAAAGCAGTCTTGGTGTCTCTGCTGGCAGCATTTGGGTGCGCGCAGACTAATGGAGGACAGTTCAGGCAGGCTACACCAAAGACAACTTTATGGGTACACCAGTATATGGGATTCTTCTTTTTTTTTTTTTTTTTCCTCCAAAGATATTTTTCTTCTATTTCATTATATTGTTCCATGTTCACGACTGTTTAATTTCCTACTGGAAAGACCTTGATATCCTTGCTGGTTACGTATGCACAAAGAAGAGTGAAAGAGTTACTCCATGGACTATATTATGGGTATGCAATTACTGTATGTGGGACATTTTTATTTCATGGTACTTTACAATTAGGACTGTTTAACTTCCTATTTGGAATATGTTTGATATTCTTGCTGAGGACTGGAAAAAGAGCCATCTCGTGAGTTTTGTTTTATATACTAAATAATATGTTAAGGAAGGTTTGCTTCTCTTGACCATAATAATTTTTGTTTTTATTTTTTTCCTTTATAGTTATAACATTTAATGACGCTATGTGGATTGTGTTGTCTGCAAATTCAGCTCTAATTGATATGTTGTAAGAGATAAGAGATTTATTGTGTTCTAGATCTGTTCCTGTGTGGAGCTCCCATGGTAAGCAGTTCAGGAAAAGAGGTTGACTGGAAGAGCAGGCAGTCTCCATGCGAGAAACAAGCGTTGCAGTGTTTGTGTTTGTAATGTTTAAAATTGTTAGAGTTACACGTTACTTAATGTTTTTTGAATGTTTCTCTACCGAGCCCTCGCCGACAGAACCCCAGATAACTCGGTGACATCACCAAAGTACGTTTTGTCACGCGAGAACAAAACAGGATGTGATGAAGTTCCCCAGCGGTAAACTTTACTTGTCAACATGGATGTATGACAGCTTGGAGCTCTGCAGGTCGTTTGTGCCCTGCTTTGCGCTGAGAAGAAACAGAAAAGAAGAAAAGGATTTGGGTGAAGGAATGGGTTGCTGCACGCAGATTGCACAGGTTGTCAACTCTGCAAAGAGTGTTGGAGGTGAGTTCTATGAATGAAACTCGGTTGCCACTGTGCCGCTAGCCTACTAGCTTGCATTGTACTGTCTACATAGTCTATGCATGTATTCTGACCCAGATTATTGTAACTTTCATAGCTGAATGATCGAACGGGTTTTCGGGAAATGCTACGGATGACAGCGGAGGACTTTGATTTCTTGCTGGGGCTGTTAGAGCCACGCATCGCAAGGAGACCACCAGATTTAAGCTTGCCATATCCCCTAGAGAACGTCTGTCCTTGACCCTGAGCTATCTGGCTACAGGTGGGTTATTTAATTGCGTGGAAGTAAAAATAAAGCAATGGTCTCTGTTGCTGTATGGTATGTGTAATAGTCCTTTTCGTTTGTTTTTTGATTCAGGAGAAACGTTCCGGTCCTTCCGCTTCCAGTACAGGATTGGGACCAGCACAATATCCGCTATCGTCATGGAAACGTGCGGCTTTGTACGATACCATGATGAATTATTTCTTGAAGGTGAGTTTACTATTATCGCTAGCTTTTAAAGGTTATTCAACAGCAGTTAACATTTAAAGGTATTAGACATCTACACACTAAACTAGGCCTAGTTTTAATTTCTGCTGTTTAAAACCATGTGAGATCATATACAAACAGTATTTACTGCAGCAACAGAAAGTAATTGTACCCTATCTCTTCTTTTCCATCAGACACCTTCAACAGAGGCAGAACGGCAGGCAATAGCCCACGGCTTTTCCCACCAATGGCAGTTTCCACATTGCCTTGGGGCTTTAGATAGTAAGCACATCCAGATACAGCCTCCAGCAAAAAGTGGCAGCACATACCTGAACTACAAGGGCAGGTTCTCTGTGGTGCTGATTACAGATACAGATTCATCTACGCCAGTGTGGGGACCCAGGGCAGAGCGTCAGATGCCTGACGCCTCATCCAAGTCTCGCGACGCAGGCGCTGCGGGAAAGCGTAGCTTGTATAAACACAAAGAATGAAAACATGGCGGAAGGTGGTGACAACGGCAGGACATTTTCCCCCCAACTAAACGCACAAAATCTGAGGTCTGGGCGTATTTTGGGTTTCTGAATAATGCAGAGGGACAGCTGGTGGAGGACAACTATCCTGTGTGCAGAGCATCCACAGCTTTACAGCCAATGCAAGTTATGCTATGCAAATGTCAGTTATTGTGTGAGGGACTTCGGTTAATAAAAATAAAAGCCATTGTCATTGTTTATTGATGCTCTCCAGAAAACTGTAATGTGGGTGCTGCGCACTTGTGGTTGGTGCACTGGTGCGGTATGGTGTTGCTCTGGGGGTCAGGCACAATTTCTGGGCATCATAAATAAGGCACAGTATCAGTCTTTTAAATCAAGACTGAACACCTTTTCTCCTTGCCGTTGCCTTTTATTAAATCATATTAGAGGCTTTTAATTAATTCCTCGCACTGCACCGTAAGCTTTATTCTATTTAACTTTTTAATTGTACTTGTATCTCCGTTTATAATAACGTTTTTTCCTCTGTAAATCCACCCCCAACTGCCGTTTTATCACCTTCAGAAATGTCTCGCGCTCGCCATAAAACACAAACTGCCAAAACCGGTATTCTTTCCTGTCCTTTTCGGTCATTTTACAAACAGCAAAACGTTGCAGAAATGCCAGCAAATGGTACCATAGTTTTGTTCTTCCTTACAATTATCAAAATAATTTTGATAAGAAGAAAACACATAACCAGAGAGAGAAGGCTGAGACGTGCTGCTCTTGCTAGACTAGCAAGACGTAGATAATAAGTGAAAAGATTATGCTAGGCCTGTACATTTATATTTAAAATATACACAAACCATCATTTCTGAATTGTCAATGTAAATTTTCAGTGGCAGACCAGTGGTCAAATGACAAGATTTTTGTCCCAAGGACGTCCATCTGATAAGATTTTTTATCTTATAATTGTTATTACATAAAGAAATATATTGAAACCCATGGCCAGAATATCTGTTATTGTGTGACTTGGATGGAATTATAGTGAAAATAAATTATTCCCCTTTTTGCTGGGGACTGCCTGGAACCTCCTCAAAAACCCCTGGGTGTCAGACCCCACTTTGACAACCACTGACATACAGTAAACTATTATAACTAGTGATGTGACGTTCGCGAACGAGCCGAGTCTTTGAGCCGGCTCTTTGAAGTGAACGAGTGAACCGGCTCTTTAGAGTGAAGGAGCCAGTTCCTAATTCACGTTGTGTTGATGACCCCCCTCGGTTAGAAACGAAAGGTAGGAAGCTAACCCACTATCAGCACTTGCTTGTATTGGCAGGCTTGTTGTTTATAAAGGGCGTTGCTATGGCTACACCAAACTTTATATGTGCAGGGTCTATTCTGGGTCCACGTTACAATATCCAGATCATGTGATGTGATAAATCAGCAATGTGATTCGTCGTTGAACCCACTAACACCCTCCACACACACACACACACACACAGCAATAACCCCCCGCCACCAAAGTGAATGACAGCCAAAGAACCGGCTCTCACAAGTGAACGAGAAATCCCATCACTAATTATAACACGTATAACTATTATTATCACAATGTGATCACATTGTCACATAGCTTTTATTCACATATTTAATTTCATGACAAGTTATCAGTTTTAATATCTTTATTTGTTATTAGTATTTACAAGGTGCATCAGAAAAGAAACAGGACTGGGGTCACAAAAAAATTATTTCAAATCTAAACTACAAAATACAAGTTTTCCCCTTCAGAATATTCCCCCTCGAGTCCAACACACTTTTCCATCCTTCTCCTCCTCCAAGCACTCCTGGAAGGATTCTCCCAGGATTAAATAAATAAACACCTCCCTACTCACATGACCTGGCTCCAGGTGAATTTTTTTGGCTCAAGGTGATTTTTCTCTTGCGGAAAAAAATCACATGGAGCCAAAAAAAAACAACCTAAAAATCACCTTTGGAAAAGTGCGTTAGACTCAAGGGGGATTATTCTGAAGGGGAAAACTTGTAATTTGTAGTTTAGATTTGAAATAATTTTTTGTGACCCCAGTCCTGTTTCTTTTCTGATGCACCTCATATTTATTTTTTACAGCATGGCCCACCATCTCAGTATTGTGTCCTGAACTGCCAACTGCCAGTCTTGGCCATATTCTTTGATGGCCAAAGTGATCTGAGACCTGACTTCCGCCTCTCCAGGCCCACAATCGCCAATCTCATTCAGTCCCTCCGCTCTCCAGTTGATCATGGCTGGGGTCATGACCTGGAAATCCTGGTCTTCCTATTTTGGCTGGCCAGTGCAACATCCTACCGTGTTGTCTCACGAGCGTTTGGCATCCCTCGGTCCACGGTCAATGATATCATCCACAGAGTAGCAGACAAGATCATCAGCCTGAAAAACAGGGTCATCTGCTTTCCACCACCTGAGGAGCTTGAGATAGTTGGTGCAGGCTTTCACCGTCTTGCTGGTTCTGCAGCATTTGCGAGGGTTGTGGGCAGCATTGATGGCTGCCACATTAGGATAAAACCACCAAGTGTAGATCCCCAGTGTTATTTCAACCGTAAATTGTTTTATTCTTTTCAGCTCCAGGCAGTGTGTGACCCACATTGTCAGTTCATTGATATATTTATAGGTTATCCTGGCTCAGTACATGATGCCAGCGTTCTCAAAAACAGCCCCACTTATGTCCATAGTCTGTACCCACCTGAGGGCTACTGTATTTTAGGGGATGGAGGATATCCCTGTATGTCAGAGCCCATCGCCGTCATCACACCATACAGGAAGCCACTGAGAGGTGCAGTTCAGGCCAGGTTTAACCGGCACCACACAAAGGCCCGTTCTGTCATTGAACGGGCGTTTGGCATCATGAAGATGAGGTGGCGCTCAATCTTTTTCAAAGCCCTGGAAGTGCACCATGTTTTTGCTGCAAAGGTCATCACATGCTGTGCCATTTTGCATAATGTCTGCCTCAAGAACATTCTTGAGCCTGTTGAAGAGGCACTGGGGCCAGATGATGGAGGCGGTCAGCTTCAGCCAGACTTGCAGTGTGGGGAACGGCTGCGTGGTCACATTGCTGCTGCTCTCTCAGCACCAAATAACCCTCCTCTAGCTCTTCAGGATCAGTGCCATTTGGAAAATACTTTATTTCAGAATTTGTTTACGAATTTGTTTCCATTTACATTTTTTCAACAATTTTTTCTAATAAATTCACAAGTCTTTCCTCCCTTGCCTCCGCTCTCTTAGCCCTATCTTCTGCCCTCTTCTCTTCCCGCTCCAGCAGCTCCAGTATCGGGTCCCTTTTCTGCCTTTTTGATTGCCCTGGCTCTTCAGGCTTTGGAGTCTGACTCCCTGGCTCTGATGGCACTGATTCGGAATCGGGGGAGGCTGATGCCAACATTAAAGTGTTCTCCCCCCAGGCTGAGGCAATGAGGCATGGAGGCTGGATGGATGGCCTCCCACCTATTGCCTCATCCATGAGGGAGAACCACTTCCAATTCTCAGCTGTGGCCTCCCCCGATTCAGTGCCATTCCCTGACGGTGGCTTCCTGACCTCCTGCACACATTGCAATTTAAAACAGCAAAGGAATTACTCAAGGAGAACAGTACCTGATCTTTCATCTATGCTTTCACTATTTAGGACTATTGGTAAAAACAATGAATACAAACCTTGTATGTCTTCTTGAGATTCTCCCACTTCTTTGCTGCTCGGGCAGGGCTCACCATCCCAGCCAAGCCCATCTCTTTCAGTACAGCTCTACAACAATACAAAACGTAACAAGTGAATTGAAAAACAAGAAATTAATCTATCAGTATCATCAACAATGTTGATATATGGGAATATAGTAAAAGGATTAAGAGTAATTTTACTTTTGTTATGAATTCACATTAAAATAGGATACTCCTTCAAAAGAATTTGACATAACTCACTTCCATCCGGCTGCCGCGGCAAACCTTTTGCCTGAGAAGAGGTGGTCCCTCTCCCTCTCTCTCCTCAGTTGAATTAATTTGGCCACATCATCATCAGTCCCTGAAAAGATTACATTTATTGAAAATTAATTTATCTGTAGTGCTTATGTGACACTCCAATTAGGGCTGCAACTAACGACTATTTTGATACAACTACTCAATGACCATTGAATTGATTAGTTGACTAATCTGATTATGTATTGCATTATTATTATATTACTCTAGCTTTTAAATTTAGCACGAGGTTGCTTTAATTATGTGCACATTAATAATAAACACAAGAAAGATGATAATTCATTGAAAATTACATTTTTAATCAACTTTGCTGCTGATATTTAGCTGCTACAAAAAGTAAATAAAATGATTAATGTGTTCGGCTTTTGGTCTATAAAATGGTGAAAAATGTTGATCACTGTTCCCCAAAGCCCAAGAAGACATCCTCAAACCAACAGTCCACAACCCAAAGATCTTCACTTTACTGTCATTGACTAGAGAAACCAGAAAATATAAGAAGCTGGAATCAGAGAATTTGGACTTTTTCTTCTTAAAAAAAAAAAAAAAAAAAAAAAAGACTCGTCGATTATCAAAATGGCGATTAATTCAGTAGTCAAACGATTAATCTTTGCAGCCCTAACTCCAATGTAATTTTGTTACTTGTCATTTTAAACAGAAATTGACAATCATCTAGTTATAGCTAACATTATAGCCTTGCCAATAAAAATTACTGTACAAAGGAAAACGAACTGGATCACTAGCATGGATGTAACAGTTAACGTACATGTAACGTTAATACGTCCATGATCGGTAGCCATGATTTCTGCCATAATGATGCAGCACATACAGTGTTGAGTGATTTCGGACACAACAGTTAAACAAAAACAGTTAAAATTCAACATATCATCAAAAGTCAGCGGAAATTTACTTACATTTGTATGTATTTCCCTGCTGCACTGGGTGCTCCTCCTCACTGTCCGCCATGTCTGCTGTCTGTTACTGGCGCCACCGCAATGCATCATGGTACATATTGCTTGGTTAGTGACCATTGGTTGTACACTACTTTTCGCGCTGCATTGTGGGATAATATGAGTCCACTATATAGGATATATTAATTTACACTAAACATTCGGACAGCACTACAAAATGGCGAACACACTATTTAGTGCACTATTTAGGGAGTAGTGAATGATTTCGGACACAGCCTATGTCTTTTTTAACCTGGAAACTGTTGCTGGGTCATTGATCAGTTCCAGTTCCACAGCTACTTGGTTTCCAAATGATGCAAAGTGGCTGGGTCTTCCTGTGTATAGAGCCGCCATTTGCTTCAGGACGTCAAGTTTTTGAGTCTCACTGTCAGTACCAGTACCAGTATATCAGTTCATGTAAGCACATCTGTACAACATTTTATACATTTTAACCCGATGGACAGGAAACAAAGTGCACCAGAAATAAGCATATAATTGACTGTACAACCAGAAATGAGAATTGAAATACAGTTCTTACAATAAACTGTCAATTGATATATTGTGTTTTAGCTGAATGTAATCGTGCTGTGGTAAGCTCTAACTGTGCAATGTCTTTGTAAGAAGAGAGCCATTCCTTGGTCAACAGTATATGTGGGGGTTTCCAGCGGCAGGCTATCATCCTCTTGGCTGCTGTAAGCCCAGCCAACAGAAGACGCCTGTTATTTATTGTTAAGTTCAAAGAAGAAATATTGTTAAGTAATAATAGAGACTGTGAACAAGGAACAGCTTTCTCCATTATACCAGACAATATACTTCAAATATTTTTCCAAAATCTATTAACCTCCGGGCACTGCCAAACTAAATGAGAAATGTACCAATGGTATTGCCTGGACAGAAATCACAAAATGGGTTAGTTCTGAGTTTCATTTGATGAAGTCTTTGAGGTGTAAAATAGGACCGATGAACAAATTTATAGTGAATCACCTGATGATTTGGATTTCTAGATGAACTATTAATATTTGACCAAATAGATTGCCAGTTGAATTCTGAGGAAGCATCGATGTCACTTTTCCAGAGTCTATTTAAAGGCAGATGTTTATATGAAGCCTCAGATATCAATTTGTACAGCTCAGAGGCAACACCCTTGTTTTTACCTTTAGTACACAATTTTATATGAAGAGGATGATCTTCTAATTCAGAGTCCCACGGAACACCTTGACCGCACATTGCTGCACGCACCTGTAAATAAAAGAAAAAGAAAGTGCCCGGAAGGTCAAAAGTTCTTCGTAATTCCCGGAATTCAAGGAGACCTTGTTTCCCTATAACGTCTTGAAGAGTGTTTACTCCCTTATCACTCCACTGGGGAAAGGAAATTGGTTTCCCATCTATTAGAAGGCTATAATTATGGAAAATTGGAGACTGACGGAAAAATTTAGAATGTATTTTTGCAAACTGTTGGACTTTACCCCACACAGAGAAAAGATGTGAAATGACTGGTCCAAAATCATGTTTCACTAGCTTATGTGATATATTAGAGTATATCAGATTATGTACTAGGTTATATGGACATGTTAATTTCTCCTCAATGGGGCGCCATTATACCTGAATATTTGGATTTAGCCAGACAACAAGTGGACGTAGAACAAAGCACCACGAGTACCACTCAAAATTGGGCAAATTCACACCTCCTGCTGATTTGTACCATTGCAATGTAGAGGTTTTAATTCTGGGTTTTTTCTTGTTCCAGAGAAATTGGTTTATAACGGAGTGCAACTTTTTCCAATAACTGTTTGGAGGGGTAAGAGGTACCATTGAACTTGCAAAATTTACACGTGGCAAGACATTCATCTTAATAACCGATAATCTAGACTGAAAGGAGGTTGGGAGTTTACCCCATTTCGTTAAATCTTCCTCTATGTCCTTCAAAGCCTTGTTATAATTGTTTATGGTTAGTGCATCCAAAGAAGGAAAAATAGAAACACCTAAATATTTAAAATTAGTAACAACAGGTATAGGAAAATTTATAGTGAGAGTCTGACCGCTTTGCTCACCCAGTGGCATTAATGCTGATTTGCTCCAGTTGATTTTATATCCAGAAATATTACTAAAAGTCTCAAATATTTTCATCAGATGTGGAAGTGATTTCGACAGATTCTTTATGAAGATCAAATTATCATCTGCAAATACAGAAATGAAATGTGGTGTATCATATACTATCATCGGCTCTATAACCTCTGACTGCCTTACTGCCTGAGCTACAGGCTCTAACGACAGTGAAAAATAAAAGAGGGGACAAAGGGCACCCCTGGCGTGAAGATCTAGAAACTTGGAACCTAGAAGAACAGATATTACCAGTTATCACTACAGCAGAAGGATTAACATACAACAGTCTGATCACGAGGATAAAATTATCGCTAAAGCCCATTATGTCAGAGCACAGACCACAAGTAGCACCACTCCAACCGGTCAAAAGCTTTCTCTGCATCCAATGAGAGAATAGAGCTGTTATTTTCGGACCTGGAGACTGAGTTTATGATATGGAGTAGGCGGCAGACATTATCCGAAGCTAATCTTGATTTAATGAACCCGGTCTGATCATGGTGAACAAGAAGGGGCATATAGCGCTCTAACCTGGATGCCAAAACCTTTGCATATAATTTGATTTCACAGTTAAGGAGACTTAGAGGCCTGTAAGATGAGCAATCGTCAGGAGACTTATACTTCTTTAACAGAAGAAAAATTATAGCAGTATTGGAGCTTGTGGAAAAAGATACTCTACAGATAGAAGCATTTATCATATACTACAAATGAGGGCCGAGCTGGGGCCAAAAAGCCACATATAACTCCGGAGGTGAGCCATCAATGCCTGGTGATTGGCCTTTATTCATTGATTTGATAGCTTGGCCTAGCTCCTCTAAAGTGATTGGTGCCTCTAATGAGCATACAGCGTCCAGGGGCAATTTTGATAAAGATAACGAATTAAAAAATTCATTACAAGTTTTTCCGTCATAACCCACCTCCGATGTATATAATTTTTGAAAAAATACTTTAAAGGTGTGATTGATCTTTACAGGATCAGAGGTTAAAATTCCTTCTTCAGTTCTAGTTGCTGCAATATTTGCTCATTGGTTATTTGCTCTTAGCTTAAAGGCAAGAAGACGGCTAGGTCATATACAGTACAGGCCAAAAGTTTGGACACACCTTCTCATTCAATGCGTTTTCTTTATTTTCATGACTATTTACATTGTAGATTCTCACTGAAGGCATCAAAACTATGAATGAACACATGTGGAGTTATGTACTTAACAAAAAAAGGTGAAATAACTGAAAACATGTTTTATATTCTAGTTTCTTCAAAATAGCCACCCTTTGCTCTGATTACTGCTTTGCACACTCTTGGCATTCTCTCCATGAGCTTCAAGAGGTAGTCACCTGAAATGGTTTCCACTTCACAGGTGTGCCTTATCAGGGTTAATTAGTGGAATTTCTTGCTTTATCAATGGGGTTGGGACCATCAGTTGTGTTGTGCAGAAGTCAGGTTAATACACAGCCGACAGCCCTATTGGACAACTGTTAAAATTCATATTATGGCAAGAACCAATCAGCTAACTAAAGAAAAACGAGTGGCCATCATTACTTTAAGAAATGAAGGTCAGTCAGTCCGGAAAATTGCAAAAACTTTAAATGTGTCCCCAAGTGGAGTCGCAAAAACCATCAAGCGCTACAACGAAACTGGCACACATGAGGACCGACCCAGGAAAGGAAGACCAAGAGTCACCTCTGCTTCTGAGGATAAGTTCATCCGAGTCACCAGCCTCAGACATCGCAAGTTAACAGCAGCTCAGATCAGAGACCAGATGAATGCCACACAGAGTTCTAGCAGCAGACCCATCTCTAGAACAACTGTTAAGAGGAGACTGCGTGAATCAGGCCTTCATGGTCAAATAGCTGCTAGGAAACCACTGCTAAGGAGAGGCAAGAAGCAGAAGAGATTTGTTTGGGCCAAGAAACACAAGGAATGGACATTAGACCAGTGGAAATCTGTGCTTTGGTCTGATGAGTCCAAATTTGAGATCTTTGGTTCCAACCGCCGTGTCTTTGTGAGACGCAGAAAAGGTGAACGGATGGATTCCACATGCCTGGTTCCCACTGTGAAGCATGGAGGAGGAGGTGTGATGGTGTGGGGGTGTTTTGCTGGTGACACTGTTGAGGATTTATTCAAAATTGAAGGCACACTGAACCAGCATGGCTACCACAGCATCCTGCAGCGACATGCCATCCCATCCGGTTTGCGTTTAGTTGGACGATCATTTATTTTTCAACAGGACAATGACCCCAAACACACCTCCAGGCTGTGTAAGGGCTATTTGACCAAGAAGGAGAGTGATGGAGTGCTGCGGCATATGACCTGGCCTCCACAGTCACCGGACCTGAACCCAATCGAGATGGTTTGGGGTGAGCTGGACCGCAGAGTGAAGGCAAAGGGGCCAACAAGTGCTAAACACCTCTGGGAACTCCTTCAAGACTGTTGGAAAACCATTTGAGGTGACTACCTCTTGAAGCTCATCGAGAGAATGCCAAGAGTGTGCAAAGCAGTAATCAGAGCAAAGGGTGGCTATTTTGAAGAAACTAGAATATAAAACATGTTTTCAGTTATTTCACCTTTTTTTGTTAAGTACATAACTCCACATGTGTTCATTCATAGTTTTGATGCCTTCAGTGAGAATCTACAATGTAAATAGTCATGAAAATAAAGAAAACGCATTGAATGAGAAGGTGTGTCCAAACTTTTGGCCTGTACTGTATAATCATATAATGATTTTGTCTCGTGCGATGCATGATAAATTCTGTTTTTTGTCTCAGTAGGCTACTAAGTTCATCCAATAAGTTCTGGTGCTTGTTAATGTTTCCAGGTGACATATTATTCAGCATACTTTGTTCTATTGCTACAATTTCAGTCTCTAGAAAATCAATATGGCGCTTTCTGTTTTTATTAAGATTAGATGCAAATGACACGGTTTTATTTCTGATGCAACCTTTGATTGCATCCCATAGCAGTCATGGGTCGTCGACAGATGCACTGTTTATGTGTATAAAGTCTTTTAATTCAGCCTCAAGTTCTCTTATAAACACATCATTTTGAAGCAAACTAGCATTAAAACGCCAACAAGGAGCTCTAGGTTGGCCAGCTCTTATCAAAAAAGTGCATAATACAATTCTATGGTCAGATAATGGTGTTGGACACAAAGTAGTACTGTCAATATTACTAAAAAGAGTTTTTGAGGCAAAATATAATCGATTCTTGAGAAAGTTTTGTGGCAAGCAGAGTAAAAGGAGAAGTCACGAATGGAGGGGTCATCACACACCAAATATCCACTAGTCCATAATCAGCAGCCAATTTTCATAATGTTCTAGAGGACAGCTGTTGATCTCTGCTCTCTGTTACCCCTGTTCGGTCTATTTCATGCAGCCACACCGCATTAAAATCGGCTCCTATCAAAAGCTCAAACTCAGGGAGGTCTAATAATATGGAGGTTAATGAATCATAAAAATGTTGGTCAAAACAGAGCATAGGCAGAAATCAGAGCAGTTTTCACGCCGTTTTCACGCCGTTTCCAGGATACTATAATTTAAATTACGTTTGGCAGCTATAAGGACGTCTTTGCTTTTTTTTTTATCAAAATAAGAGGAGGCAATAACATGATAATATTTATTCTGAAATCTATGTACATCAGTCTTCAGAAAATGTGTCTCCTGTATAAATGCGAAGTGAATATCTTTTCTGGACAGTTGCTCTAATGTACTTGTTCGTTTCTGAGGGGAATTAAGGCCCCGTGAATTCCAAGATAAGACAGTAATTTTATTCATAAACTTTAAGATTTATGTATGGCATGAACAGGTAAACAAACACAGTTTGGTAGATTGAAATACAAGTGACATCTGGTCTGACGTCCCC